ATTGCTGACATCTTAGGCAACAAAGAAGTGTGTGTTTACGCTTTATTATAATAGTATAGATATATTTTTACCCATCATGTTTCATCTCTTTCAAATACAATCGATATTGGTTAAACTTTTTTGAAGATTTGTAAGTAATAACAAACATCAATCTAAACATTCACAGTAAGAATGATCTTGTTATTTGTTGTTATTAAATAATTGTTACAGATATTTCTGCAATGTATTCTAATATTGAAACTAGGCTATGTATATTTGTTACCGTAATGACAGTCGCCGACGCAGCGGGGAACCGCCCCAGGGCTTCGGGTCACGAATTTGAATAATTTTTCCATTCTAACATTTATTCACCGGCCGAATGTGAACGCCTTGTTTATGCATTTTTATGGGCATCGAATCAAATGTGCTAGGGTTATTTTCTATTTATTGATACAACAATTGGTTAAAGTATATTTTGCAAACGAAATACAGAGTACGGAGTTACTTTTTCAGATTTACACTTTTTTGTTGCAGTGTACTTTTTTCTTTTTAAAAATAGGAAAGAGAGTTATTTCACGTTCACTAGCTATTAGTAGATTTTACAGAAAGTAAACTTACTTGAAATATTGAAAAAAATATTTAGATTTCATTAAAATTTGTTAAAGATTTTTGTAGCTTTTTTTTAAATGTAACCGTTTAAAACCATTTTCATTATCATATAACAATAACTACACATGTCAAATTCAAACTGAACAATCATAACACATCATAGTTTCGATTTAAATTACAACCAGAGCTGCTCCAAATACTCTATTAGTCGGTAACTAATAAAACAGTGGGATACGATTGTCATATAAATTGGATATTTGGTACAAACTATTTTGTATTTGAAACAAACACGATACAATAGAATTGCAATTTAATAATCTTAATAATGTTTTCATTACGAAATGAAAACAATTTCAACTGTTTTAAAACGGTGTACAAATATTGTCATTACTATTTATAAGACTAGAATATGTTTTTAATACTACGAGTACTAGCTGTTCTCGTGCAGCTTCATTCGCATGGAATTATTAAATTTTATTTTATTTGTCTAATTTTTAATTGCAAATGTCAAAATTACCGTCACCATAATAACCTTACTTCTTTAATATTGACAGGCTGTAGCTTATGGTCCCTTGTCCACATTAATGTTTTTTTTTTATTTATTTACCCAAAAAGTATAATAACGTAAAAATATGAAGCTTAAAGCGTGTCTTAAGGTAGGGCTTTTCATTAAAGAACGAATTATTCAAAAACATGCTATGATTGCCGAGATCCTACGCCACGAAGTAGTGTGTGTTTACGCTTTATTATATTAGTATAGATATAAGTGTGCAAATTATTGCTATATCAAACAGACGTAGTCGCATGCAACAACTAGTTCTTATAAGGATGGTCTAAAAGTTCTTAGTGTTGTAGGGCTGTGTTCGCGTAACATCTTGTTAAGTTTAATGTGATTAAAATTTTCCATTACGCAAAATGGGTTATGGAAATTACGTCTTGAACATGCAGGAAGCTTGTACTACATAAATGTGCTTCGATTAAATAATCCTTTCGTGTTGAAAGCCTTAATCTAAATCAGGTTGCTAGATACAAAATATAAATTGTTTATCAAGCGTTTCTTATTCATTTACAACTAGTACACCTAGATCTAGTGATCCTGATCGTTCATCAAATTGGTCCTTGGAAGATGGTGCTATAGCGTGGTCCTAAGTTGCCATGTCGTTGCGGAATATCAGGAAACGTCCTGTATTGTGTGGTAAGTGCGGAGAGTTCCGGTAAGTTCCGCGGAGATCCTGGAACTCTTGTCTATTACACTAGAGGCAGGCCACCGAGGGGATTTTAATGGACAAACCCCACACAACCCTGTCTTCCCCTAGACGAAAGGGTATCTTTTTGAAGATTTCCTCCTAATACCGATAAAAGGTCTACTAACTTTAGTAATGGTAAAATTAATTACCTACTGTTATTATGAGTAGTATTGAAACAATGGAAAGATATCAAGCATTTCATTACACGATATTTCATTAGATATCAATGTAAATTACGAACATTAATGTTTATAAATTTTGTATACATTCGTATAAAGAAAGACGACGCCGCGAGCAATCTTATGAATATATTAGACCTATCTCGGGCTTTCTTTTCATACTGTTGCCAACAAAAGAATCAATTGGGCGGTAAATTCAGTTTTTTTGTTTATTTTTAAGGTATCAATTTATGATGTAAATTGTAACCAAGAATGAAGTAAACAATTAGTGGAAATAGACGAGGAAAATACTAAATTTTATTTACTGATTACGACAAACACCTGAAAAGTAAAATTTATTGAACAATGTTAACGTACATTATTACAAAATACGTTGTTTTTATTTAAAATGTATTATGTTTTTTAACATATCTTCACTTAGTTAATATTGTTATACTAGTTTTGTTTTCTCTCAAGCTAGGTCAAATATCGATAATTTCTATTGCTTTGTACCCTTATAGGGAAATTTTTAATGGCCGTAATTTTCTACAATAGCAACACTACAAACTTTCAATTCAATATAGACACTAAAAGAGGAAAGTTTTGTAATTTGTATGTATTGAAATAACTTAACTCCGCGGCCGATTCCAATTCTTTTACCATTAGAAAGCTACGTTATCGTTGAGTAAGATAGGCATTTTAAATTTCTCGTGAACAGAGTCGCGAGCAACAGCTAGTTCAAGATAAAATAATGTACCTTTCATATATCATCTTGAATCGTTATGAATCGATACTAACTAAAGGTATCGTAGCTGGGCTTTGTTTGACGTGTGCTGCTATTCCTGTCTACAAATCTGTCTAGCAATCTATCCGGCCCGTCTTGTGTGTCAAAGGGCTTTCACAATATAGCAGGTGAGGCGCTCCCGATGATTAAACCCACTCGTACGTTACGACTGCCTTTGTTTGTGCAGTCGAGCGCATTGTCTTTGTACGTCTACGATATATCAGTGTTAGCTATGATTTGAGCATCTAATCAATCATATATTATTGGCTAGTAAGATATACGAGTACCCGACAACTCCGCCGGATAATGTTTCGCTGGTATATATGACTAGCTGTTCCCGTTCGGCTTCATCACCATGAAATTATAACAACTTTATTTTATAGTTTTCTTAACAAATTTGCTTCCTTAATGTTGGCAGCTTCTAGTTTATGGTCCCTTTCCCACATGAAGGTTATCACCAATTTATTTACCTCTTAAATTTAATACTGTGAAAATAGTCGGGTTTTTATTAAAGAAAGGGTAATTTAAAAATATGATGTAATTGCTGATATCCTACCTCACGAAGTAGTTGTATTTACGCTTTATTATATTAGTATAGATTTACCCTTACTATTAGTTAAAATAAGCTTCGTTGTATAGAATTATTCTAACGTAATTTTAATGTTTAATCATCACATTTAAGAAATACGTAGACTAGATATAGGGAACAACATTTTTTCACCGGTAATTTCTTTGTACGGTAATATCTCAATGTAAAATTTCAGACTCCGAGCCGCTTCTCGGTGTTTGATACATTTGTGTGTATGTGATTTTGACTATAGGACACCAGATAGCACTAGTGAGAATATGTGAAAACTGTTTTGAGTGAAGTGTCGACTATGCTTTGTACTTTTGAATCTCTTTGTGTTTAATACACATTTAGGATATCATAAAATGGCTATTAAAGTACGTAAAAAATAGGTAAAACGTACAAATGTAGGGAAGCATAAACAAAGATTCTTATACTGAGAAATCATTTATTGTTTACCTCTTGAGTTTACAAGAATACGTAGTTAATTTATGAAGTATATTTTTCTTTCAGATAGAATCGCGTCGCCGGCTTAAAAATAAAACAGAGATTCATTCCGAGGAATTTTTCCTGTAGTCAGCGTCGCAGCTTCTTGTCTATGAATG